CATGATCTTTCGATCCCGCACTATTAAATTTTGAATCCTTTTTTTTTGAAAATTGATCACCCCTACTGTTGGCAAAAAACCCTTGATTTTGCGATTTTCAAAAATGGTGGGGAGTTCGGAACACTTCATGAATGGATAGAAAACTGAAACAATTTTGATGCAAAACGTTTATGGAGAACTAGGAAAAGACAGAAGAATTAATTTTAATTGGGAAAAAGTTCAAAAATAGCGATTGTAATTAGTCGGATTTGTAATTGTTGCCTGTGAAATAGCTACAAATCATTTTGGTGCATTTCAAGTCGAAAGCTCGATCGCATAAATCGCAATGAGTAATTCGTCAAAACTTTGCATGAAATATAATGAATATGCATAAAAAATGCGATATCAACTTGAAAAGTATTAAAAATCACTTGATCAATTTTTCGTATATAGGGCGTTCCGAAATTTTTGGCTTTGTTCGTTGCGTACCGACGAGATGAAGTTTGCACGGATGGTTGAGTTATTGAAATGATCAGCCACTTTGTTTGCAAATTTGCACATTTGAGGCAATTAAACTCTGGTTGTTTGTCCATGAGCCTATCTTTAATGTTGAGGTAGTCTGTGTGCCGTAACCTACGTAGTACGTACGCTCTCTCCAATTGCGATATCTTTGCGTACATTGGGACAATATGCGATCCAATTCACGATGTCGTACATGAATAGAATTGATGCATTCACCCTCCTACGCTCCAACGATATCATGTTCAACGCCTCAAGTCGCTTGTTGTGGTCGGTGATACTGTAGCCGTTGGCCGCTGTACGATACTCTTTTCGGACGAGCTGGGTAAATTTTCTCAAAACGCTCTCGATTTTGTCGATATGCACGGTATAAGTTGGTAGCCATACAATATTGCAGGACTCAAGATGAGACTGAACCAGTGCGTAGTATAGTTTTCTGAGCGTTTGAACGTCGGTTATGTCGTAGCAAAATCTCTTGATGAATCCCAGGGCTCGAAGTGATCGCGTCAATGTGCTTGACAAAGCTGATCTTCTGGTCAATGATGATGCCGAGATCTTTGTGGTCCGAAACGCGCTTGAAGGTAAAATCACCGTATTTGTAATTAGTATCGATGATATCCTTCCTTTTTGTGGTGATTGTAAGGACGGCGCATTTGTCGAGGTTCAGGTGCCAATCAGGTGCAAGGTTCATTGCAGACAGGCATTCTCAATATTAAATTTTCTTGATTTCATTACGATGTCGCACAGAGCTAACAGTACGTACACACTCGTCGAGTGCTAATGGAAATATGAGGTTTTGTTTAGAGAAAACAATGACAGTTGTTCACATGTCTCAAACTATTCATTTGCGGCGAAATTTGGCGGTATTCCGAATTTCCCCACGTTCCGAATTACCCCCCACCTTCCCTTACATATTAACCCTCTAATGCATACAACCGCCTCTAGACGGGCAACATTTGAACGCCTGTAGAACGTAAACCGTACATAGAATCACATTGCTTCAACGCAAATTTTTATTCGTCAATGTTTTTTCTTTATTTTTGTCGTTGGCAATATTTATGTATGTAGTGTGATTGTAAATTTATAAACAAAAATGTGTGCAAAAACAAAAATTTGACAAAATAAATTATTCGAACTCCAAATTAGACACATTTTTGACACTTTTGAACAATGGATTTGATTGTTCTTTGATTTATGTCAATTGCATTTCCTGACTAAACCATGAGGAATCCGGGATTATGAATATTTTTATTTTTCCACACGACCATGTCGTCTAAGAAAAGTATTATGATCGCCCCAGATTTTTTGGCCCACTAAAAATCAGTTTTTTTTTCGATTCATCTCCGTGAACCGCAAAATCTAGCGTTGTTCTAGGGTCGTAGGGTAGGTGCGTGGTACACTATATGCTGCACGCAAAAAACACGGTAAAAAATGTGCTATGTCACAATGTATAAAAAAACAGAGTATTGAAATCGCTCTGATATTAAGGTCTGATTAAAATATGATTCTTTCCTAATTTCAATGCATGGAAAATTGGATTTAATTGGAAATTTTATGTTTGGGAGTGTAGAAAAGTTAACCTTACGAATGTAAGGCATCTTGTTTTAATTATCTATGGCCAAAAATCAAGCAGTACACCCAGCCCTGGGAAAAATTAATGCATTAGAGGGTTAAATATGTTACGCCCGATACACCAAATGAACGGGGTGTAATCTGTTTTAAATGAACAAAACCGTGCGTTTCATACGTTTTTATTTATTTATTCATTTTATTCAACACCGCCAAGCTCTGGCCAAATAGTGTAGGAGCTGTTACAATAGTTTACAATAATTTCCACTTCTCACTTCGTTAAAAACCAGGCAAAAGATTGAGGTTTCCTATCCAACCCCAGATTAAACATAGAATCAACAAATTCACAGTATGAAACCCCATTGGTGGAGCGAAAAAAAGGGAAATAACCAGTGATGGGAATGCTTACGCCACTGTAGTCCATCCACTGGCTTATGCTGAAAGAAAGCGTAAGCCAATCATAAGCTAGCCATAAGCAATGAATGCATTTAACGTCATTTGACAGCTGGATAATTTGTATTGGCTTACTCCAGCTTAAGCAAAAGTGGAAAATTGTCCAGCCTATTTAACAACACTGGTTGGAAAAATGAAGTTGGAAAAATACAGATCTATACCTGAAAGAACGGAACATGAAGAAGTTGTTTCCGTCCTGTGCTAGTCCGAATGATGTTGAATAACTAGCGCCATAACTTCAGACGACGGCAAAGTGTCGGAAATATTGCGTATGTGTACATCGTATGATTGTATTGTGTCATCTGAAGCGTAGTAGAGCATAACACAAGCAAGGCAGAAGGCAGCAAACAACATGCGGCGCTGCTATGCAACAGCACTCCTGTATACACATCATGAGTCTCTAATCAACAAGAACGTAACATGAGTGGCGGTTGCTACAATGTTCTTACGACGCGTTCTGTGTTGAAAATTCATATTACGTTTTTGAGAATCTACTTGTTCAAGTTTCTTGTTTTTTCAGTTTGAAAGCGTACTCATTTTTATTCGGCACATAAATATCAACAAAGCAGTACTTTTCATTGGTTTGAGATATTTTTTCAGAGTGAATATTGTTCTTCTTTTAAGAAAATATAGACTTTGTATTCGAAAAAATGGAGTATGTTTTCAAGAGATCAGCCAATTTTACCATATTTTTTTTATTTCAATAGATATAGATTTAATGTCTTTTGAAAAGTTCTACAGTTCGACCAAGCCAACCATTTTTGCGAATACAATTCGATATTTCTTGTCATTAAAATAAAAATCGTCAACCACGAATTAAACATAGTCTACCTTGTCAAAATATGAGTCCAAAAAAACTCAATTATAAATTTTTCATCCATTTGTTTCTCTTTCTCGCTGAATTCCAAAGTTAGCTTTGCGTTTTAAACAAAATAAGCGATAGTTTGAAGTTAGAGAAAAATAAAACCAAGAATCAAAAAAAATATCGGTGATATTTTGATGAGAGGTCTTCAAATTATTTTCATGAAAATGACCAATATGATTGATATTTTCAAAATGAATCTTTACCTTTTTGTATAGGATGTCAACAGAAAGAATCCTTGCAGCTGCAACCTCAACTTCCGCACCCAAATTCTGGTACTCTTCTTGCTAATAGTTACACAGAAACGCATATATGTGTATATATATATCACACTGTCAATAGTGTTATTTGAAGAACAAAGAAACCTAGTGAACTGTTAAAATTTTACAAAATCAACATGGAACTTCGCGTACATCCATACGTTGTTTTCAACCTTTTACATTTCCGTACACATTGATCGCTCGAAATAATTCCGCATTATTTTTGCGGATTGTGTTCCAGAATACCGGCACACACATTCCGTTTTTGTGACGTGCGATCCATCCAAATCCATGATAGAATCCATAATTTTTCTGACTTTGTGACGTGTTATCCAAACAAATTCATGGATTCTATCATAAATTTGGATGGATCGCTCGTCACAAAAACGGAATGTCAGCGGAGCGTTCTATATGCGTTCACCGCACGCAAATTATCTGGATAACGAGCGTCAGCCGTAGCTGACCATCTATCGCGTTTGGTTGGCTGATAAAAACTCATGAATTTTGTTCATACTTATTCAATTCTTTTTTATTAAAAACATGCGATCTTATCTTGGCCATTACTTTACCATCATTTATTTTTCTTTACTCAAATTCTGTCTTCTTCTGAGAACATGACTATCATCTTCAGAGAACATGCATCAGTTTGATTATGATCATTATTAGATCATAACATTAGGGTATATGTTCTAAAAAAATCAAATATCCATAAATAGCTTTTTCTTCAAATGAAGCATTGCACTAAATAAGGGCTAGGCACAGAAAATTGAACTAGTCGATTTTCGGCCAAAAAATGTATGGATACCCCCCTAAGAACCCCCTAGGGAGAAAGACCTAGAATGCTATAGAAAAAAGAAAAACTTGAATTTATGCTATTTTTATGGAAAAATCGAAATTTTAAGATTCGACCCTAATCTGGGGGTTTTCGCCCTTGACTCAATAAGTCACCCATGTACCCGTAAACTATCTCGGCTCTACTATCCCATGTCACGAAAAGAATTTCATCTCCTTTCGTTTTTGTCAAAAATTTGACTATATTTAAAAAATTCGGGCTTTACAAAATAAAAAAACGAGGAAAAAAATACAAATCATTTGTTACCATACTCCATTAGGTCACATGGGAAAATTAATGATGGGAGACTAAAACACTAGAGCCTTAACCCTTCGACGACCAATGGGACACATATGTCCCATTTTGTTTTTCATCTGTAATAACTACATTTTTTAACCAATTTTAGTAAAATTGGTTTCGTTTGAAAAAGAATTAATGTAGCTATCAGAAAGTACCATAATATTGGATATTTATTGTTAACGCAATTGTTTAGAACACTCTAAAGTCAAAAAATCTTAACTTTTTTTTCAACTTTCGCCAAATGCTATATAATTTTAACGGTGGAACTTTTAAAGCTGAAAATTTGGAATAATGTGCGAAATGTCCATTACTTTCCAAAAATCATCGACTTTATTTAGAAAAAACGTTTTTTCCACTTTTTATTGCGTTTGGCGCGATGGGACATATGTGTCCCATTGGTCGGTAAAGGTAAATAAATACCCCGTATTTCCCTGTATTTTGGCCATTATTCGCGAATTTTCAAACACAAAAATTTACAAAAATATCATTAAATTCGTGATTAAATGGGCACAACAAAGCACAATTCAAACCATTTTCGGTTCAAAACAATTCTGAATATTTAAAAAACGAAAAAGATTTTACACGTAGTTCTTATGGGAGACTATATTTTTTTCCATACAAAGGTAGTTACCGTTACCGACCAATGGGACATATATGTCCCATCATTTTTTTCATATTTCTAGTTAAAAAAATTAATTTTTGATAACATTTTTATTATGGTTTTTGGGGTCGCTGAGCACGAATCTGCAATCAGAATTGCAAAATTCCCATCCGTTCATCTTGGTCGTCAAAGGGTTAAATCGCCGTTCTAAGGAAACACCTCGAATGAAAAACACGATTTTTCACCCGAAACACCCTCCCTTTGGGTATAAGAAGGGGTCAAGGCGGAAAACTAATGATGCAAATTGATAGTAAAAAAGTTGGTCTATGAACATGTCAATCCCAGAGGCGTCAACGCACTCTCCATACCTTAAATCCGGCTTCCACATTTATGACTTTTCTTATTACATAATAATAAGATCAAATCCCAATGTTTTATTACATGTCTTATAACGAAAAATTAAGCCCCGCATTTTAAAGCACCCGCAAAATAATAATATCGATGAAGCATTGTTTTCTTTTTACATTTTTGGTATATGCATGTTTTAAAAGTCATTCACCAAATTCAACCATTTGTATGCCCATTCGGGTGTTTTCCATACCTGAAAAAGAAATCAATCCGTAGTATCAATTCAGGGATTGAACATTCATCAGAGCGTGTTATAAGCTGATGTCAGCAGCACTAACTATCGTCACTATTCGAATTCTGTACTGCAAATGCGTTAAAACAACGCAACGCATACTCGTCAGCTGCTGATATCAGCTGCTGATATGCTGCTCGTCAGCAGCTGATATCAGCAGCTGACGTAGTTAGCTAACTAATAGTTAGTGCTGCTGACATCAGCTCATAACACGTTCTGACATTTATTCGTCAATTGAAGGCGGCCACTTGCCACACCAAGTAGCGATTGATATTTAAAATTCGCAATGTACAGTACACTCATATGAAAGCTATTTGATTAATGCTCCTGGTTGTGTGGTAACCATCAACTGATGCAAATTTTTAGTTCCTCAAATTGATACTACCCACTTTTTCTTTTCCAGAAATGAATAGTTACAATTTTCCAGATATGAAAAACTCCATTTATACGCCCATGTATCCCCTGTGGTCAAATTCGTCAGCACAACAATTTTCAGCCCAAAAAATTTCTCAAGCGACTTCGAAAATGACTCAAGTTCCAATACTTCTGAATGTCATCAATTCTTGTCAAAACCCAATGTTACAAAATTGCAAAACTTTGAGCGGGAATGTTACTACCGATACAAACGATGAACCAAAATTTTCTCAGGTTTGATTTTCGTGGCTGTTATACATACTTTTATTTCATGGTTGTGCCATTTTTGTCTTGTTCAACTATTATTTGTTGATGTGTTTAGTTGAAAAAACATTGTTTTATCAATGAAGTAGTTATTTGTTATATTAATTGTTTTTGAAGATGAATTGAAAAAAGTTTGGTCATGTGTACTTTTTTATTTCTTTTATATTTATCGAGCTCTGATTCTATAAACAGTCTCATATTCCCACGAATTTATTCTTCAGTCAAATTAGAAATCCAAAAAGTTATCAAACACACATTTTTACTGCTGTTATGGATTTGCTCTCCGTTCAGCTCGCTTTTTTGCTTCCTGTTCAAGTCAGAACACGGCTTAGCTATAATGGAATGGAAGCTCTACTATAGCCGAGGGAAGACCTCGTTAAGTTTTGTAAAGTCAGTGGCCGGGCAGAATTTGCCAGCCTGGATTCATCATTTTGTGACAAGCCACAGAACTATTCAAACTATTCAGCGTACTGCTGCATTGGTATATGCAATTTCATTTTTTTAAATTTTCCCCAGAAAAACTGGACCAATTTCTCTCAATTCTTAATCTGATGAGTGTCATCCAAAGAGGTTTCTTTGTGATGGAAATTGGTGAGAATATCATTTCATTTTTCGTGGACCTTCACTTGGTGTCTTCGGCGAACTTGTAGTTCTCGGGGCTTTATATAATTTTTCTTTGGCGCAATTATAACTATTATCCTTCTCGAGGTCGAAATATTCTTCATATAGATTTAATAACAAATGTTGCGAACTGAGTCAAAGGTATTCTACAAAATTCTATATAGCTTTATCTATTGCTTGAGTTCTATGCTTTTCAAAGTTGTTCTACACGAATAGACCTACAATTTCACTGCAGACAGTGATACTATTCACTCAGTTCGTATTAAAGGCCATGAAAATTGCGGGTCTTTGAGGACCTGCTAACAATGGCGTAATACAAATGTTCTCTATACGTCCAAAAAGATTGTCTAAGGAAATGCTTGAAGAGCTACAAGTCGTGAACACTAAAAAAGGTACGGGCCCCGATGGTATGCACCCATTGATACTAAAGAATTTTGTGAGTCATTTGGTGGTTCCACTCACGCAAATTTTCAACGAATCTTTGTCGACTGGCCATTTTCCTGACAAATGGAAGCGCTCGAGTGTATCACCCATTTTCAAAAGGGGACAAGATCGAAAATTCTTTTTATGTATAAACTGAATAGGTGCTCCAGTGAAGTTTCTATGATTCAATCTAGAGATTGGCCATAAACTGAGTTCAATTTGTCAAAAATTCATTAATATAGGTTGAAAATGTCTTTTTTGTCCGGTTACTTTGGAAATTTCATTATAGCCAATTCGTGTGTATTTGACTGTAGCATATCACATTTATGTGTGCATGTATTTCCTCTCAAATTGAGTAGAACTCACTTTTCGAATTCAATTAAAATTTTGATTACATTACATTAACTGTTGAATTTGTTACTGTTTCAACAATTCAATCCTGCCAGTTAATGTTATGGCATATAAAACGAAAAATGACAGTATTGACTTAAATGACGAATAGAATACACGCTATACAAAATTTACATAACAATCAATATTTGTCATTCCAAAATTACTCGGTGTTAAAATTCTCTATTCTTTTGTTTTTGTTTACTATAGCCCAATGTAAATAAATTTGAAGCAAAACTTAGAAAACAGAAAATTGAATGTGAGACTGATTCTAAGTGGTTGCAGCAAGAGGAGACTAAACGCCTAAGTTTTATTGCAACATTACAAAGTGACGGTGTAGTTAATGAAGGATTACCGTACTCAGAGCAGACAGTGACAAATGATTTAGACGTTACATCTCTAGGACAAAAACAAGAAGAAATCATAAAAACAGTATCGATTGATAGAACCAATGATAACATATATTCTGCAACAACAAGTGTTGTCAAGGCGATAATGTCACTGAGTCAAGGAGTTGAAAAAGCAGCCGCGGCTGACTATTTAAACTTAGTACGATTTGTTGGTATTGAGCTTAGGACTCTTTTATCATCAGTAGATTCATTGGCTTCGATTTTCTCTCCACAAGCACTTAAGTATGATCTTCTTATATTTATTTATTTCATATTCAATAATTGCACTCATTAAATTCAACACTTATCATTCATTGTTTATTCCTACAGGGAAGTAGAAATGGCACATAAAATTTTAGCAAAAGATATGTCAGAGTTGGTTTCAACAATGCGTTTGGCACAACAGTACAGTGAAACTACTTTGGATAATGAATATCGAAAGTAAGTTTGTTTTTTTTTCTTCTTTTCTATTTGTAAGAGCTTAGTTATTATGGTCTTGTTTAAACACCAACTAGGAACATGCTGTCGGCGGCTCATGTTTTAGCTATGGATGCGAAAAATTTGCTTGATGTCGTCGATTCTGTTCGAATCAGGCACCCAGAACTGTTTCTTCTACAAGATGTAGATCCATCACCTTTAACAGATTTACAATCAGTACAACTATCTAATTTATCAAATATCATACAAGATGAAGGCCACGTTCTAAAGACGGAAGAAACTCCATCAATTTTTCCAAGTTATGAAACTTCAATTAATTCAAGCGACAGTTGGACTGAACAACAATCGTACGAAAATTTAAGTCACAAAAATGAAATATATGTCAATCAAAAACAGCTCAAACCAGATGAAGGAATCTATGATAATAACAGCATTATTTCTCAGCAAAATTTTTTATCCACAAACACTTCTGATATGAATATTGATACCAAGAATCAGTCAAGTTCATCAAAACCACCTATAGCTGTTAAATCAGGTGAGATGACACAATTTGATGTAAAACTACTTCTTCTTACGTGTCCAATTATTTCCGTAACAGCCAAATCGACTAGTTTACAAGAGAAAATCAAAGCATTGAACAACGCGGGATTATCGGTTTCCACGGTAGAAAAATTAAAACCACCTAGTCTGGACGAGCCCTTGAAAATAATTGAAAATAATTACAATAATATATAATACAAAATATTTTTTTTAAATTTAAATACCGTAACATTAACACACAAATGAAAAAAAATTAAAATAATGTTAATGTTACCTTATTCACACCTGATTATCACATTTGTGATATTAATGTGTAATTATATTTATAAATTCATCAATTTATTTATTTGATTATAAGATCATATGTATTTTGGCCAACGTATGACAAAAACTTCTAATATTTTCCAAAACTAAAATGTCTAATAAACGTAACAAAAATGTAAACCATTTTTTCCCAACCAAAAACGGCTAATGAACTCTCAAAAACACGTCCATCATTGAAAGTTTTGTTTTAAACGTTTTTATAATATATGCTAGTTAACGCAAATAAAAGTATGACAATACGAACCAAAACTAATCTATGGTTGTATATATGCAATGCACAGATTTGGTCAATATGCATGATGTCAATGTTTCGTAAGTAAATCTATTAATTGTGCATACTGCATACCCAGGGGGAAAACCACGAAAAACAAGAAAGAAAATATGAGAATTATTTAAACGTAATGTAAACGCCCCCTGGTGCATACACATACGCATATTCACGGTGTCTTTAGAGAATGACAGGTCACACTTAACTCAACGTGGAAATGAAATTTCATTTTTGGTCATTAAATCAGTTTATAGTGATTATTCAGCATAAACACTTTGAGTTAACTAATTGTTTTTCCAAAAACAGTATTCAGTGCTACGCCAATTGGTAGATGTTTTTTTTATTAAAATGAATTTCGTCGATATTTGGTTCGTAATGTTTTCTTTGAATGTGCTCCTTATTTGTGTATCAACTTCTAATGAATCAGAGAACACAGAAGAAACAACAATATTTCCGGCAAGTTATGAAGATAATGAAGTAAATGCCGAGAGTTTTGTCAACGCAACAGGAACCCAGAACGAAATAACTGTGGATCAAATAGGTCCAATCATTACACAGTTGCTTAGCCCGATCAGTTCATCCATTCAACCATATTTGGGCCCGCTGGCGCCTTTGTCAAATGTTCTGAGGTACGGTTGTATATTTATATGTTATAAATGATAATGATGGACTTTACATGTGTAAAACGCTTCTTTCTCTTATAATTCGATAATATTCAATTGATTTTCTGTTTATTTTCGGGCTATATGACAAAAGTCGATTGCTATTCCGTTTTTTTCATCAACCCTCACCATCATCATCAGTAACAAAAACGCCATTTATTGTTATTCGTTTGTCATTTTATTGATTTCAGTCAAGTCATCTCAAGTACTGTGGCGGAAGTAGTTGTATCTATCTTAAATGATACCATTTCATCAGTAAGACGCCAAGAGACACAGTTCAAGAATTACACGACATATTTGGTAATTATTGCATTGTCTAAAAGGGATTGCCGAATTTGCGGTGTTCTTAATAAGTTGTTGGGAAAAAGGTTGAATTACAGGAATGGGTGTATGCTGAAACATAACATGAATTTAAAAACAGCACAGAAATATTACGAATTCCGTACTCTTTCTATTTAAATTTTAGCATAGCTATTCCTGCAATCCATCACATTCATTATACACAATTTTCTGGTAACTCTTTGATAAATAGGTCAATATTCCCAAAAATGGACGATTTTTGCTACTTGCTAAATGCCCATCAAAGAAGGGTAATTATATTTTCGATGGAACCAGACAAACCAAGCATTCCAGCGTACCGAAAACATAGTAAAACTTGAACGAAAGCACTGGATATTTATTTATTGTCTTCAAAATAATTCTAAACTGAATCTCATTAAATCTTACTATGTCGAACAAAACCATTGTAAACCAATTTATCACCCGTTAATAAATATTTACATCTACATTTTGTTCTGTTTTTTTGATACTATGTGTACACTTTAATACGTATTAATGTAAATTGTGCGTTGCGAAAATTTACACTGTTCATGGAATTGCACGTTTGAGATTTTACATTGGACAAGTACATACATTGAAGAGCATCGTGCGATGAACAGAAATGCTGCTCAACTGGTAAATGGCAGGGCGGCCATACATAAGTGCCGCGGACGTTCCACTGAATTTGTCAATAAAATCAAGAAGCATGTGCGATGTCCAGGCAAGTTAATCGCCGCATTCAAAAAGTGTGGCAATATCATTGCTCGAATGGTCAATGAATTCATGCCATCTTAATTCTGTGAACACTGCTTCCGACGATATCGACTACACACTCAACGTGATCGTGTAGGTTTGCTACCTACCATCGCATCAAATGTGAGCAAATGTGCACTAAAATCTGGTGCAGAAAGCTTGGAATACGTGTGTGTAAAGGCCATCACAAAATCACACAACGCTTCCGTTTACAGCGCCCACGTTCCACCAGCATCATATGACTCCCACTTAGCAGCCATGCATAAAATCCATGCCACTGATCCAGAGGATGTTGTTGTTTTTGTTGGCGAATTTATTTTGCCGCATGTGGAATGGTCAATTCGATAGTGATGACGAAAGCATTTTGGTTGGGACACTATTCGAACCTGAGTAAACACTAAACATCCACTTCTATTCGGGGACTCATGAGCACGGGAGTCCATCAGGTAAACCATGCTCGCAATGTAAATGGAATGCTAGGAAACCATGATGACTGAGATGGCAGCAATCGATCATATTCAATATATAATTTAAGAAAATACGCTAACGATTTGTTAGTCCGCTGACTTTCAATTTGTGGGAAGGCGTAGTTAATACTAGATCCAATTAATGATTAACCCTTTGAGTTGAACAATTTTTTCATCTCCATTAAATTCTGCTTTGTGTGAGAAGTTGATGTGCCATTATACATTCTAAGCTAAAAAAAAACTATATATACATTCCCTTTAGTCTTTTTTCATTTCATTTTACTAATAAGTTTTTTTTCCAAATGATGGATAGAATTTGGCGCCGCAAATAAACATATTTGCTCAGTAACGCCATCTTACGCCATCTTAAGCCATCCAACTTACGTCAAATTAATAAGTCAAATTTTCGGCTGCAATTGACACTATGTTCAGATGTGTCCATCAATAGCTCAGAGACAAACATATAATCGATTTTATAACCTTCTGAAAATCCAGTTCTTCTAATTTTTGTCAGAACAAAATCGAATACGGCAGAAATATGTCATCATCAGCTGCACTTCCACCACCTGTGAATGTTGCTCCACTGATTCGCGTAAGTTATATCTTATGGTATTTGTTTAAATAAAGGCACCTTTTTTCATATGAGGAAAGTTTGGTTAGATTTTCATGCTTATATAATACACATTATATAGACAGTTTGGGAAATTTCATAAACAATTAAAAAAACTATGTTGATCTTTCGAAATTTTTTCTAATGACGATTTATAGTTTGGACGGTGGTCACTGTTGACAGCTGGAATTTTGTATGGTGCCTACCATCACAATCGATTGTCAAAGAAAGAAGCCATAAATCGTAAGATTGAGGCCGAAAAAAAAGTTATTCGTGATGCACAGCAGGCAATTGAAAAAAAGAAGAGATACGAAGGTATACATAATTTAGATTGTAATTACCGTTGTCATTAATTATTATTATTTCACCAATATTTCAGAGGAGATAAGAGCTTTGGAAGAATTGTCGCGCCCATCAAAAAATGTTGCCGCCTAATAGCGTTTCCTGCACTCGTGTTGGATCAAAATGGGAAATGCGGAGTTTTTATGCATTATTCTTGAAATATTTCGATAGATATTGATCATAGCAAAATAGAAATCAAGTGTAAACTAAAATAAAAGTCCGACAAATAACTTGAGCGTTCTTACTATGTTACTCATAACTAATATTCTTATAAGAATATATACATATATAGGATCTTTATCCCATATCTTTAAGTAAACATCAGGAGATTCTTTAAAAGACAAACTTCCATTCAGTAGATTGGAATCTCAACTCTTTTGATTGAACTTATCTTTGATATAATCATCCATTGAGTTGGTGATTGTTTTTGATCTATTATTTATTATAGTAACAAGTCAAGTAATGTCAATGTCTTTACGTAAACCATTTTAATTTGTTTGTAAAACATTACTTTCAAATTAACAAACCATTGAATGCATTCACTGCGACGACGACGACACTTTATTGAATGCACTCCATTTCTAAAAAGTTCTTTTGTGTGTTTGTAGTAGTTGTGCTCCGATTACAAAACGGAAAGAAAATAATAAATCCATAAAATAAAACGATTTTCGGCCCCCCCCTACCCAGCCGGTCAAGGTTTGAAAATCACTCGTCTGAT